CGAAAGTGTTTATGTTTTAATCAAAACTTAATTTAAACACAAGAACTGGTATCTTCCTACCACACCAATAAATCTTTGTTTGCTTGTGTCTTCATCTCAGGAGGAGCAGAAGCTGCTGCTTCATCTCCTGGTGAATCTGTATCTGCACTAGTCACCAGCAGCAGCAGCAGCAGCAGCAGCAGCAGTGCTCCCACCTCCTCCACCACGACCGGCACCAGTCGACCCAGTGGAGCAGAGCCGGTCCTCAGCCTACATTACAGCTCAGAGGGAACCACTACCAGCACCATCAAGCTCGACTTCACTGATGAGTGGTGAGTCATCGGCTGAGAGAGTCTTTCTTAGAGAATCCATATATTGTCAGTTTTGTTTACAGAATAGTTCTTTATTCCAGAAACGTGATATTTTACAGCTGACCAACGGGGGGCAGAGTTTATTTTTCCTTTCCTCTTCATTCAGTGATGTATCCTTGACTTACAAATCCTTCACCCTTTGAGTTGTTCTGTTTGTGAAAATTGAAACAAATGTGGTGGATATAGAAACAACATTGATCTTGTCAGATAATTTTTTTTATTGAGGAACAGTTGAACACACATTAGAAGCTTCTGGGACTCAATCGCTGTCGTCTTTCCTCTACAGGAGCAGCACCTCCGGCTCTATGGGCGGCGGAGCTCGCAAAACATCTGAGGTTGTACAGAGCAGAGAGAGCGTGTCGACGGAGAGTTCAGCATCAGGGCAAAGTGAGTCATCTCCCGCAGCATCATGAAAACTAGAGTGTCACTCCTGACATCCTACATCACCGATGCATGTGGGTTGCTGTGGTCGGAAATCTTGTTTTATTTCTGAACTTAAGTGTATTATACAAGCAAGGTTAATGTGACTAATTCAAATGAGGAGTAAAAAGTTGAAAGGGATCAATTATAAAATATTTCCCCTCAGTTCCCTCTGAGGCCTCGAGGCAGCAGACTTTGCCGGCCGCCTCTGCAGAGCCACCGTGCGACGCCTCCTGCAGCTCGACGGCTCCAGCTGCAGCAGAGGGCTCCTCCGAGGGGGACGGCATGGCGTCTTCAGCGCTGGAGAGGAGTCAGCCGGAGGGTGCGGAGGACACATCGGGAGGCTGCAGGAGGGCGGAGCCCACTGGGGAGAGCCAATGCGGCCCACTCCCGTCAGAGTGGGAGGGCCAGAGTCAGCCCGCACGTGCCAACCAGGACTCTGATGACAGCGATGACGATCCCATCCTCATCCCATCAACGAGGCTCAGAGGACAGGGACAGAGGTACGTCAGAAAAGATGTCGCTCTCGTTTCTTCATATTCTATATTCTGTTCTTCTTTTCCCTCATAGGTTTGAATGCAGGTTACTTTCTGTTAGATCTAAATGCTGCTCACTTTTTGACAGTGGATAATCTGATTTGGTTTTTTTGTGATGCTTTGCCATTGACTGTTTTACTACAAATATAGACTTAATACCAGAGGATCTGCAGTAGGAGATAGGATGATCAGGTAAAATGTTTGCACTGGCAGCTAAAAGCATCTAACCTGTCAGGTGTGTGACCATAGACTGTTTATAAAGATGGACGACAAGTCTCCCCTGCCATCTTGCACTTTCATTGTTATTTGGAGCCAGAGTCTGTGCAGCAGCAATGGGGGATAAAAGTATTGAGGTCCCACCGATTCACATGCTGGACCAATCATGAGTCAGTCTCAGCTGTCAATCATTGCATTTACCCCCATTTTATATCATCAAATAACTAATAAACCGAACTTACAGAAAACATTAAATCAATTTGAACATATTTAAGAAGCATTTTGTTTTACATGTATTGTGTAACTCTTTATTTTGGTCCATGCTGCCAGCCACCAGGGGGCGATCAAGATGATTTGGGTTAACTTTTGGGGGGGCGCTGTCAAGTCGTCCATCTTTACACACAGTCTATGTCTGTGACCTGCAGCTTTAAACCTCAACACTGTGTAGAATGAAGAGAAAGGTTTATGTGTTGGTTTGATCGTTTCCCTCACAAAGATTGAACTAACAGACACAGTTAACCGAGTGTTGTGCATGTCAGTACTGACTGTGAACACGCTGCGAGCATTTTGGAGACGTTACACTGAAGAAAAGTTAAGAATGAGGAGTGAGTAACGAATGTGCGTGTGCATGACATCCTGATGAAAAGAAGCTGAAGAATTGCTTTGATTTTCAGCAGCCGTGAAAAAAAACCACGTGACATGATACACACGTTTATCTGAGGGAATTCAGTGACACTGTTGTCGTGTAGCGAGTAGACAACGCTTTGCACAACGCTGTTAATGGCTTAATTCAGCTGTGACGGAGCAAGCAGGTGATTTTCTTTTCAAAGTGGCTGCTTCCAAGTTTAAAATAGCTTGTTATTGGTTGAAACAAATCCAGCATCAATTCAAAGCATGGAGTTCATGAGCATCAGCGACAGCATGTGGGGGTGTCTTGTCTTCTTCTGTGTGCTTTATATTCACTCGTTTTTTTTTCTTTCCGTCAGACGCTCGGCAGCAGCTCGCATCCAGGAGCTGTTTCGCAGGAGGAAAGAAAGAAGGGAGATGGAGGAGAGCGAGACCCAGAACATCAGGAGACCGTCGGTCAAGATGGTCTACAAGGGCCACCGCAACTCCAGGACAATGGTAAACCTCAGGATATTTAACTCCCATTGGTTAGAGGAGTTTAGAGACCTTGTGAAAAATCCTCATAAAGGAAGAGTTCAACATTTTGGGGAAAAGGCAGATAACAGAACTTCTTTCATTTTCTTTATGCGTAGATAAAGGAGTCGTGTTTCTGGGGCAACAACTTTGTGATGAGCGGCTCCGACTGCGGCCACATCTTCATCTGGGACAGACACACCGCAGAGCACCTGATGCTGCTCGAAGCCGACAACCACGTGGTCAACTGCCTGCAGCCGCACCCCTACGACCCCAGTGAGTCCAGCCCCACCCTCTTTCATCATCCCGTCTAAAACATAAAGGTGACACGATGATGTCGTCGACAGCGTTAACTTCTTCATTGTCTGGTCTGTTTCAGTTCTCGCTTCTTCAGGGATAGACTACGACATCAAGATTTGGTCGCCGCTGGAAGTTTCGCCATCATTCAACAGAGTGCTCGCTAATGAGGTACAGGAAATCAGACTCATCATGTTTAGCTTTTGGATTCCTAGTGCAAACATTAAAACATGTTTGACTTCCTGTCATCCACCCAGTTCAATTTGCTCCTCACTCTTACTGACACACTTCTTTTTTGTCATCCTCCCTCTCTTTTAAGGTCATAACTCGGAACGAGCTGATGTTAGAAGAAACGAGAAACACAATCACAGTCCCGGCCTCTTTCATGCTACGGATGTTGGCCTCTCTGAACCACATCAGATCAGGTACATGCGTAACTACGTTGTTTAAACTTCGTGCAAATCATTGGAATATTTGTGCATATTCATGTCTGACCACAAAAACTTTTTTCTTCTCGTGCTTTTCTCAGGATTTTTTGTAAATGTCTTGTTTTTCTGCTTTTCTGTCTTGTAGATCGACTAGAGGGCGACCGCTCTGAAGGTTCGGGCCAGGAAAATGAGGACGAGCAGTAGCCTGCTGGGATTTTATTTTACAGAAAACACCATTTCTTCTTGCTGTATAGCACTTGAAAAAAAAACAGATTTGTACAAGTATAGTGTAGAATACTTCCTTTCGGAAATTAGTACAATTTCTTGCCCCCTTGTGTTTTTTTAAGATCACTTTCTTACTGATGTTTCTGTACAAGGATAAA